GGGGCTGGATGGCATTCCAAATGTGCTCTGAAGATTGCACTAAAGCAAAACCTAAAATGCTTCACCCAGCTATATTAAAGTGCTTAACCGATGGTATTTTCCCAAAAATATGGAAAAAACAAAGTTTTGTCTTATTACAGAAGCCAAACAAAACAGTTGGGGATCCTAGTGCATATCGACCACTGTGCATGAGAAACACAATTGGGAAAATTCTGGAGCGGTTGATCTGTGAACGTCATGAAGCACACCTGGAAGAAGTTGAAGATGGAAGAAATAATTATCTAGCAACCAATACGGGTTTCGCAGGAAGCGCTCGACTATCGACGCAATCAAGAAGCTGACCGGAATAGCAGATAAAGCAATTGAAGGTACTAGGTGGATGCACAAAAGAATACTACGCAATCATCACTTTCGACGTGAAAAATGCGTTTAATTCAGCATACTGGCCACACATAATACGAGCCTTAGAGAACCTTAATACTCCGGTATATTTATTGCGGATTATAAGATGATACTCCGACAGGCTGTTGTTATACGACACTGAGGAGGGGGTAAAAAGTTGCGCAGTAACTGGAGGAGTTCCACAAGGCTCTGTTTTGGGCCCAATGTTATGGAATATCTTATACGATGGAATATTGGGCCTCCCTTTACCAAAAGAATCGAAAATAATTGGATATGCGGATGACATTGCTGTGGCAATAGTAGCAAAAGAGCTGCACCAAATCCAAAGTGTTTGTGTAGCTACGTCTCAGAAAATTAAAAACTGGCTCGACGCGTCAAAACTTCAGCTGGCGGGGCAGAAGACAGAAGCAGTCCTGATCTCGAGCAGAAAAAAACTAGAGACCATTACTTTGAACATAGACGGGCATGAAATTAGAACTCAGCCATCTCTAAAGTACCTGGGTGTCATAATCGATGCGAGACTCAACTACAAGATGCATATTGAAAAAACCTGCGAAAAAGCTGCCCGAGTGATTTCGGCACTAGCGCGAATTATGGCTAACATAGGTGGACCAAATCAAGCGAGAAGGTTACTTTTAGCAAAAGCCAGCCAATCAGTTATGTTGTATGCGGCACCTGTATGGGCACAAGCGCTGACCCATAAAATATATGCCAAAATGGTGATTTCAATGTTCAGACTAAGCGCCATCAGAGTAGCCAGTGCATTCCGCACAGTATCGCAAGAAGCTGTTAGCATTATATCCGGTATAATGCCACCAGATATAATGGCACTTGAGCTCAAACGAATATACGATACCAGCAAAATACTCGGCAGGTCATTGACAATAGAGGAACAAAAAGAGGAAAGACAAAAGAGTCTAAACGAGTGGCAAAACCGTTGGGAGGAAACAACCAAAGGGCGGTGGACGCACCGGCTTATCAAAAATGTGAAAACCTGGGTGGAAAGAAAGCACGGACAAACGGACTTTTATATGACGCAATTATTAACTGGCCATGGCTGCTTTAGAGAGTACCTGTACAAGTATGGCCATGATAACGGAGTGACGTGTTCCTTTTGTGGTAATAGTAATGAGAATGCTCTACACATTGTTTTCTATTGCTCGCGATATAATGTGGAAAGGACCTTGCTAGAACAACAGATAGGAGAACCCGTATCACCGGATAACTTAGTACCATATATTCTGCGGTCTGAGCAGGTGTGGCTCGCCGTAAATGACCTGGCCGCAAAAGTTCTAATAGAGCTGAGAAGAGCAGAACGGCTGCGAAAGAGAGAAATGAGAGCAATACATAGAGTATAAGTACACTGAGATGGAAGAGCCCATAGGCTAAGCTAACCTTGCGAAGAAATACTTTACGGTAGTCCCGCAAGGTACATACGAAGCTGACGGAGTTAAGGGTTTAGCACGTAGGCGTACCGCTGCGCGAGTTCGGCATATTAAAAAATATGGACCGGGCGTGGTCCCGAAAGAGGTGCACTTAGCGTACGGTATGAATCGTGCATGCTGTCACTAGTGGCAGTATCTTTCAGAAGATTCCCCCTTCGGATACAAAAAAAAAAAAAATACGGACATACACACACACACATGTATTGAGTTGTACTTAAAAACAACCCTATGTGGTGTGCATGCCACATGCACTAATACATATGTATGCATTTAATTAGATAGTAAGATTTGTAAATAGTATATAAGCGATGCATTTAACAAAATAAAATTAGAATGAATAAGTTCTTAGCTCAATGAAGTCTTTTTCTGTCCCTCACCAGCGGTAAGGCAATTAGAATCTTTATTGAGTTTAAGGTCTTACAAATCAATTATTCAGTGACAGTTGAAATATGACTGCACGACTTACGAAAAAAAGTATTATTATATTTTAGCTAACAAACTTAAATGTAATTAAAAGGCGAGAAGACCCATAAATCTTAATACTTTATATTGTTTAAATGTTTTTGATTTGTTTTATTAACATGCATATATTAGCTTGGGTTGTATGTATGTAATAGAATCTTAGAGCGCAATTTTCACTGTTTTCATTTTGATAACAGTTTCCTATTATTTTAATAGTGGGTGTAATCCCGCCTCCTAAATGGTTTAATGTATATATCTTCCAAGCTACTAAAGCTAACTCAACCAAATTTGCTGAGAGGAAGTCCTTCTAGCACTTTTTCATACGCTGTGAAAATGGGTAAAATTCAGATAACAACCACGCCCACTTCTTATATAACGGTTATGTTGAAAACTACTTAATGTGCGATAACTCACGAAACAAATGCGCTATGTATTAAATTTCACAAACAAGATGGTGGGGAAGCGTTTTACAGCAGGAGGTGTAAAAATTTTAAAATGGCCGTGGCCCACTAACCTTTAGGTGAAATCCTATAACTCAGAAACTATCGAGCTAATTTCAATCAAATTTGGTATGTGAGGTTACCCATTCATTCCTATAACACTCTGTGAAAATGAGCGAAATTATACAACGACTATAAAATTATGCAGCTAAAAGCAAGTATTATCCAAATACAACTATCTACTATCCAAAAATGCCCCTAAAGCTATGCAGCTAAAAGCATCCATGCTGTCATTCGAATAACAAATATTTTCAAATGCTTCCCTAAAGAAAGTGAAAAAACTACATGTGGCTAAATAATAAGTACGTTTTCAAATACTAATAAACATGCATTTAAACTAAAAAGTGAAAAATAAATATAGTTTTAAAAAATTAAAGACCACGCTTTTAAACCACTTCAAACTAAAAAGTGAAAAATAATACCTTATATTATATAAATTTACAGAAATATTGGCCGAAAGTACTTGTATTATTGTGATAAAAGCGTGGGACGGTTTGAGATATATTTTTCGTATATCGAGCACATCGCACTTTTCCACAATAATACAAATATTTTTCGGTCAATATTTATGTAAGCTTATATAATATAAGGAATTATTTTTTACTTTTAAGTTTGAAGTAGTATTTGAAAACGTACTTATTATTTAGCCACATGTAGTTTTTTCACTTTCTTTAAGGAAGCATTTGAGTATATTTGTTTTTAATTTTTTAAAACATAATTTATTTTTAGAATATAAAATCATTCAATTATGAGTTATTGATCCATTAATTGTAATTATAAGATTAAGTTACTTTAGTAAAATATCTGAGCGTTGCTGACAATCGCATATTTGACGTAATAGCTTCTCGCATTACCCTAATAAAAGTTAATCGTCTTCGGAAGATGACATGAAAACTGAACGCTGTGAGTGCAAAAATGATGATTCGCGCGTTTATTTGAACGTTCGCGGGCAAGACTTCACTCACACACATATACAATGATAATTATTTGACCGTATCCAGAACACTTGAGAAATTTATTCCTCATTCAATTTTAAACGTACACTAGCGTCGGTATATATACTGCTTTTCATTTGGTGCTGGCATGAGAAGCTTTTTTCTCTCGCGAGCTCAAGGCGTGGGCATAAGTAGCTGTTTTAAAAGTAATACAGTATATGTACATATATTTTCTTAAATTATTTAAATAAAGTTTGTGAGATATTCAAAGTACTTATGTTGTACGAATAATTATGTTATGTACTGTATATCAAGGTTTGAAATAATGTATGTTTCACGTGACATAGTGTTTATTTACAAAAAGTTCTTTTCTTGAAGTACGACAACGTTCATATCATGTTTAACTGAGTGCAATCTGCCTAACACCTAACATATGCATGTGGATACATGTGTGTAAATATGTAAGAAGATATTTGTTGTAAAGTGTGGAAGGGGTTTGGTGGAATATTCTTGCAATTTGCAAATATTGAAGTCGGTGAAAAATTTCAAGTGCCTGAATGATATTAATTTATATGCAAATAAATTTTAAGGGGGACACCTAGTGTGAAATATTGATTTAACATACTAAAACGTGATAGACCTTCTTTGAAGAACATTCCTACAAAATCTATGAGACGGAATATTTTTTCAAGTAGTTGGAAGCAATATATTATACATATGCATTTATTCTCATAATAAGAATTGAAAACTGTAAGGTGAAGGACCTTCCCGTTACAATTAAGAGCTCATACTTGGAGAGATTTTCGTTGAGGTGTCTATGAACCTCTTTTTTTAGAGTACTAAGCAAAAAAAAATGATAGTTTTTTATGACCCACACTAATATATACATATGCACATGAATTCACACTTTACTGTTATTTATTGCTCATTCTTTGCGTTAAACAAACAATTTTCGTTTTTTTATTTACACTTTGCTTTCATCGGCTCTGCAGCACGAGACTTGACAACTGTTTATGACAAGCGAATGCAAAACAGTAGGCGACTGATTAGAGAAAATGTACGCTATACACGAGACTTTGAGAGACCTACTTTTCACAATGCCATGCGAAGGTAGAGGGACAGGGTTGCTACAAATTTTTCTTTCACGTATACTAAATGGTATAAGTCGCTATTGGTCGCATTTATTAAATAAATAAATAAATTTTAAAATATAGTTTCACTAATGATTTCCATACGAGAATTTTTTTTCAACTAACCATACGTATCGTAGTTGATTTTAAGTTCATTCACTTTCACATATTTACTGCATTTGTGAAATTAAAATTAATTGACTGAAATTGAGTACTAGAGGAAACGATGTCTATTTGCACATGAATTAAAAGTTAAGCACTATTGATTTTAGTGAATATTATTTTATTTTAATATTATTAATTAATAAACCTTCATCGCGACACATCGCGATATGTGCCATAGCACTTCTGTGCTCTTTTCAAATTTCAATAGACTATTTCTACCGTGGCAATAACAGTACACATCACCAATCGACCTCCTCCAAACAAACTACTCGTACTCGTACTCGCCACAAATCAACTGACCACAAGAATGCAATCGAACGTATTGTTGATTCACTGCACAGTTAGTGCACTTTCACACAGGGACTCAAAAGAGTCTCATACCAGTTTATTGTGGGCGAGGGGACGACGAGGAAGGACGAAGGGACCGTGCCACTCGTGTTCGGGTGGCACGCTTTGTGTTCTTGTTCGTAACAACTCGCTGCTACCCTTTTCAGCATTCCTTTTCACTTTCAAATTCTTTGAATGGTTGCAAGAGCGCTCGGTTTCAAATGAATTCGATCGCAAATTTGAGTTTTGTTATCTATTTTTGTATGTAATATGCAAATACGTATGCATAGAATAATAGAAATATTATGACAAATTGTAAATAAGGAGAAAATTAAGATATAGATTATGGAGTAAAGAAATTATGAATTTTTAATACGGAGTAAAGAAATTATGAGTTTTTAATACTTAAAGATTAGGAAATTCCTATTATAAATTTGGCCTTGAAAATATTAGTAGCGGATATTCAATACATTCTTGTGGATTAGGAAATTCCCGTCTTTAGTATTTCTTTGAAACTATTTAGCGGGTAGGTACTTGTATTATGCATATTGTTCTACCATATTCATGGTAATTCGTTGCAAGCAAAATGTGTGACCATCATCTCAACATACAAATGAAATACGCAGCACGCAGTGTTGCGCAGTATTGCGCAGTCGAACCGCACAAATATTTACGAAAATTTTGTGAAAAGGAATGCGGAAAAACTAGACTCGAGTTGCTGGACTCTTTTTGACCGTGTGAATGCCCAGAGCGACACCAAAAGAAAATTTGAAAAACATCAGACTCTTTTGAATCCCTGTGTAAAAGTGCACTTAGTAAAATGAACAATTTATTGAGGGTAATAAAGAGAGAATGCGATGGAAGCAGAGCAGTTTAAGAAATTTTGTTTTCGTTTTAACAAATTTGAAACACGATGTTTTGACTTTATTGTAAACCCAAATATTCCTTTGATATCTTTAGAGTGTCAGTTATCTTAATCAACTTAATTTTAACTTCATTTGAAGAATAATGAATATATGTAGTAAATGGTGAATGTGGTAGTTTGTGAGTAAATTTCACCCATTTTCAACATGTCATTCAACTACACTGTCAATATTATGCGTTCGCTTAAATTTGCTAAGATATCGTAGATATTGACCAATATACGAGCATACATTATTTAAACCCACCGGTTATTACCAGAAAAATATGTATGTTCTCCGGATTTTATTAAGATACTTCACAGATTGACCGTTTGAAAACAAAATGATGCTCTGTGGATGACAATACATACATGTATTTCACATATCGACGGTAACTAAAGAAAAGTTATGATCAGATTTGTGGGATTCCGTGTGGATTTATTCCGATATCGTCTTTGGTGTTTTAGTTATATACTGCAAGGCGGAAAGATCAGATGGAACTTAAAATTGTGTTATTTACGTGATCCGATTTAGTAAATTTTTACACTGTAATATAAGGCCCTGTAGATATTATAACGGGTGATCCAAGTAGAGGTACTCTTTTCAGTAGCCTTTTTTTGATAGATCACGTGAATCGGGTCAAGTTCTCATGCTATTTTTGTTCAGTTTTGTTAGGAATTTTATCTTGGAAAGACTAATGCTAGAACAATGTTTACAAATTGTTCAACTTTATTACGAAAATTAACGTTCTGTAAAGAATGTGTTTCGCGCTCTTCGCTTAACCTATGGACCACATAATCTGTCTACTGAGCATACTATTCGCAACACCATCCCCCATTTCGGACCCAACATTCATTATTCAATAATATTCGATCGAATAGACCATGTCCAGCACGCAGTGGAGAAAATATAGCGGCCGTAGCTGAGGGTGTACACGAAGACCGTGGAGAGTTGATTCGGCGCCGTTCGAAGCAAGTCGGATTGACTTATGGAACGACTTGGCGTATTTTACGTCGAGATCTTAAATTGAAAGTGCACGAAATCCACCTTGAGCAAGAACTGAAGCTTCCCGACCTTCCCAAGCGACATTGCTTCGCTCTATGAGCTCTTGAAGAGTTCCAAGAAGTTTCGACGTTTTCGAGCCTAATTTTGTTCAGCGATGAAACCCATTTTTGGGTCAATGGGTATGTAAACAAGCAAAATTGCCGCATTTAGGACGAAGAGCAACCTGAAGAGATTTGAGAGCTGCCATTATATTCAGAAAAAGCAACGGTTTGGTGTGATTTGTGGGCCGGTGGAGTCATTGGTTCATATTTCTTTATGAAATGATGCCTGTGAGAACGTAACCGTCAATGGCGACCGTTATCGTCTTATGCTAACTAACTATTTGATGAGCAGATAATTTCACGTTTTGGGCCGGTCAATTGGCCACCAATATCGTGAGATATCACACCGTTAGACTTTTTCCTGTTGGGATATGTAAAGTCTAAATTCTATCCCTCTTTGATTCAAGCCTTGGAGCAAAACATCACGAGTGTCATTCGCCAGTTTCCAGTCGAAATGCTCGAACGAGACATCGAAAATTGGACTTAACGGATGCACCATCTGAGACGTAGCCGCGGTCAACATTTGAAAGAAATAATCTTCAAAAAATAAATGCCGAAGAATTTTCTTTCGAATGATAAATAACATTCACCATTAAATTGGAATTTTCTGCGTTTTTTTCTTTAAAAAAGTAGGGGACCTCGAAATGGATTACAGTATAGGTATAAGTGAACATATTTTACAAAACATAAACGATAGTAATATTTTTTAATTGCGATTAATAAAATAGCGTAATACTAAAAACTTTGTTTTTTGACGTCATCCGCACATATTATACATTTTATATATTCGCGTTACATACATTTAATCCTGTTGCATCCTGCATTTTCTTACATATCACATTAACAAATTATTGTCCGCTTCATGTCAAAAATATTTTTGTTTCCTAATTATACCCTGAACGGGTATAACGAAGTTTGTAACACCCAGAAGAAATCCTCGGAAACCCTTTAAAATATATGTATAACATATGTATATGTATGAGCTGAGTCGCTTTAGCCATGTCCGTCTGTCTGTCTGTATATACATTAGTCGAAATTTAGCACACGTGATTTTCTCCCCAAGAAACTGCTCATTTGATGGAATCGCCGATTTCGGACACTATAGCATATAGTTATCATACAAATTGAACGATCGGAATCAAGTGTTTGTATGGAAAGCTTATCCTTGTTCAGATAGGATAATTATGGAATAAAGCTACCATATTAACTGAACTATCGGAATCTAGTTCTTGTATGGAATCTTTTGTAGTTGTGAAGGGTATTATAGCTTCGATGCAGCTACCATATTAACTGAACTATCGGAATCTAGTTCTTGTATGGAATCTTTTGTAGTTGTGAAGGGTATTATAGCTTCGATGCAGCCGAAGTTAACATTTTTACATGTTTTTATCCTTATTTATGGTTTTCTAAAACATTACTATTATATTATGCATATTTGCATATTATACTATATACAAAAACAAGTAAGGAGGAGCTAAATTCGAGTGTAACCGAACAATTCATACACTTGCAACTTGTAAGAATCAGAGGCGAGGAAATATCTTCAGGTGTTGGCAATAGTTATTATTAAGAAATGTACCCAAAAGGTTCAACTTCATTGTTCGATGAAATGGTAAATGGATTTAAATCAAATTTGGTATCATATTAACTTATTTTGAAGGTCATAGACTCACTTAGCATTACTATGTATAATAACATCCTGTCAGCGAAAATTATAGTAATCTAATACTAATCATTGAGGGCATAGAAATGGAAGGACTGATTGCATTAATTTTTGACATTGCTCAGGTATACTTGAGAACTTATTTGCAAGCAATTTTATAAATATAAACATATACATATAAAGTAAAGTCAGCCGGTCGTTTAAAAATTATGAATATCAGTTATGTGGGAGCGAAGGCAAGTTTTAATTCGATTCAACCTATTTTTTATACAAGAATTATAATATTATTATCAAAAAAACATTTTCTCCGAATTTCAATTATACATATATATATTTGATAGATTGACCGATACTGCACTGGGATCCACATATTCAGTACCTAGGGGTTTGAACAGTTTTAGTTCGATTTAGAGAATTTTTGGTCACAAGGTGGCATACTTTAAACGCATTATTCAAGCAAAGTTTTACCCCGATATAATCATTGTTGCTTGATTTACATAGTGAAAAGTGAAAGAATCAGATGGAATTTAATATGATGTCATATAGTGGTTGTAATCCGTACGTAGAAATATGAGAAGAATGTTATGTACCGAATTTCGTTGAAATTATTTAAGGAGATCCCAAGATATGGGTATTCACCTCAAAGTGGGCGGTGTTGTCACCCGATTTCATCCATTTTGACAGACAGTCACCCTTCATCATTCATTTATCATATAAAAAATCTTCTTTTATTTATATAACCCTATATCTAACTCAATTAGTTTAAGGTGATAAAAACAACCGTTAGGTGAACAAAACTATTGTATTATACTCTGTAGCAACAGTTACTAGAGTATAAAATTTGTAATAATTAACACCATACAATCATAACGTTTAGTCCTCTCTGCTAAGATAAAGATGTTGTGTTTCTTTTCTTGGTGAAATGATGCGAACGTAAGTTCCATCCATACAACCAACCACTCCTGGGAATCCACTCCTTGCGTGGAATGAAATCTTTGAACCGTCATTTAGAATTTATTCATAATATTTAGAATTTCTTAAACGACTACAGATATCGTAGGTTGCGATAGGCCAATTTTAAAATCATTTGCACTTTATTTTTGACAAGGACACGAAGAGTTGCGCAAAATTTCAGTATAGGAAGTATCTGCACTTTCTCGCACACGTTTGAGGAAGTGCTCATTCATCTCATTTAGAAGAAAACAAACTGCTTCCTGATTTAAACGAAATTACTTGTGAATCTGCAACAAACATTGTTTATATTATAAATAATGTTCC